GAGAGAGAGAGAGAGAGCCTGCACTCTTACCTTTCCGTGATATTCCGTTGCTATCTTTACAGACCGGCACACACACACACACACACACACACACAGAGAGAGAGAGAGAGAGAGAGAGAGAGAGAGAGAGAGAGAGAGAGAGAGAGAGAGAGAGATCCTGGGCTTTTTCATTGCCGTGATATTCCGTTGCTCTTTTAGCCTCTTTAGAGAGAGAGAGAGAGAGAGAGAGTGCCCTCTTTCATTGCCGTGATATTCCGTTGCTGTTTTTGCGGTTTCAACAATTATAAGAGGAAGGGATCGGCTTATTCTCCCCATGTCTACTTTCCTCGGCGTTCTCTTTCTTTTCCTCCTCGATTTGCGTATTCAAGAGCAATGGCCATTCTGGCCTATTGCCCGGTAGGACTCACCAACGGCCTTCCCTCTTTATTAAGAGAGAGTTACTCTATCTAGCCTTTTGCCCCCTGTACCAACGCCCCAGTCTCCCCTCTCTCTTGCTGCGTGCAATGTGCATCAGTCACAACGGGTTCGGCTTTTCACCTGACACCCGTCGATTCATCCTCTATTTGCCCAATCGACAGAATCTATACCGTTACGCAAATCTCTCTCTCTCTCTCTCTCTCTCTCTCTCTCTCTCTCTCTCTCTCTCTCTCTCTCTCTCTCTCTCTCTCTCTCTGTGTCACAGTGTGTGTGCCCCCCTCCTTCCATCCACAGATCTTTGAATGTCCTCGCCGCATTCGCGGGTGCTGGTTTCCCATGCTCAGGGCTCCGTTGCCTCGAGAGTGAATTGAATTGAGAGTGTCCTTTGCCCCCAGGAGCGTAGCTTAGGCTGTACTCAGAATAGGTCTCATTCCGGATGTTCCAGACCTTCATAATATCCACATTCAGTCTGAAAAGTTCTAGAGGGTGAAAAGTTTCTAGTGTGAACACGCTCTTATCGATTCTCATTATTGCATTTGAGTAGCGACCTCACTCGGCCAGCACTAACTTCCTAGGAAACGCTAGAAGAAGGTATCTTAAGCTCGAGGTGAGCTTGGACGATGACCACGGCAACATCGTAATCGAAATTAATTTGCTTTTTTTTTTTTTTTTTTTTTTTTTTTTTTCGTTAATTTTCTTTTTTTTTTCCCTTCTTTTTTTTTTTTTTCTTCTTTCTCTCCGTTCTTTTTATTCTACATATGCCTCCATTATTATGATCGAGTTATGGGACGGATGGTTGGAGTAAGCACTGTAAGGAGCAGATGATGGTAATTACATGCCACTTCATCAGCTTGAGGTGAGATCCAATCATAGAGACTGATGACTGACGATAACGCACTGGCTATCTCACTGAGGTTCTGTAATCGTACTTACAGTTGAACTATTTTGAACGAATCTGGTCGCGTTTGTGGATAGGTGCATCAAGAAGGAGATCAGTAGTCATGGCCTAAACTGGATGACAATCATCCTTCGAGTGCTACACTAAGTGGCTGATTTTGACCATTATTACAACCCCTATTTTTAGCCAACCCTAAATCTACACCTTCACACAAGCAGCTCTGCCTGGGAAAGCGGGGCGCACCTACTAGTAACGAGTCTATTTGGACAGATTGGAGCCTAGTCCGGCTCCTAGCAGCTCCGGCGCTCCCTCCCCTACCTCCCCCGCCCCTTCCCCCCCTCCGCTGCCTCCCCCTGCCTCCCCCTTCCCCCCAGCCCCTCCCTCCACTCCCCTCTCCGAAGGATCTTCACAACAGTTATGTTCTCTTTTGTGTCCGTCTTTTTCCCTCACAAGGTCTGTTAGTACTACCGGTAGAGTCATGGAGACAGCGAAAGGTCATTGTGAAGAGGAGGGTAAGGATTTGTGCTCCGATTGTCACTGCGGAAGCAGCAGCGGAAGCGGCAGTGGCAGTGGATGTTGTGGGGGTAATACCCTGGCGCATGGAACTGTGAGACCGGCGATGAACGACCTCAGGGTGAGCGAGAAGAAGTCCGATGTGGACGGCAGCGGCGGGTCCGGTCACGGCAAAGAGATTGTACAGGAAAGCCACGGCGAGGTTGAGGACTTTATGGGCAAGGGTTTGTGCTCCGATTGTCACTCCAGCAGCAGCAGTGGCAGTGGCAGTGGATGTTGTGGGGATAATCGCGTGGCGCATGGAACAGTGAGAGCGGCGATCAACGACGACGTCAGGGTGAGCGAGAAGAAGTCCGATGTCGAGGGCTGTGGCAGCGGATGTGGGAACAATCCCCTGGAGCATGAAACTGTGAGACCGGCGATCAATGACCTCAGGGTGAGCGAGAAGAAGTCCGATGTCGAAGGCTGCGGCAGCGGATGTGAGGATAATCCCCTGGCGCATGGAACTGTGAGACCGGCGATCAACGACGTCAGGGTGAGCGAGAAGAAGTCCGATGTCGAGGGCTGCGGCGGGTCCGCTCATGGCAAAGAGATGCTACAGGAAAGCTACGGCGAGGCTGAGGACTTGATGGGCGTCGTCGAGATCGTGCGGCAGAAAATAACGGAAGGGGAGATCGGGATCCCGTCCGCCGTTGAGGTTGTGGAGAAGGCGGTAAAGACCTGGCGGGAAGGGAATGACGAAGCCTGGCAGGTGGCGTTGTTCCTTACAGAATTATGGCGTGGGGTTTATGAGCCGAAGCCATGGGAGAAGCGGACAGTGTTTCCTTCTCTGGATTCGCTCGAGCAGATTCTGTCGCCTTGTTCCTCGTTCAACGAAGTAGAAGCAGCATTTTGTGAGTGCTTCGTTCAGAGGTACAGGCAGCCTTACGTGTTGTCGGGCAGAATGAGGGCACTGCGAACACTCCTTCGCCTCACTGACGAGGTCTGCGGGAGCAACCCCCCCCTCTACCTTCTTCCTCTGAGAGCAATTGCACTGCTAGACATACAGTTCCTTTGCCACATCCGCAATGGCGAGCTGGAATCGGACGACGAGAGGTTAATGCTTGATGAGTACGACAGTCAGGACCCCGATGCCAGAGGTCTGCCGCTGAGAACCTCCGTCGGGATCTGGAAACGACTGTCATCATTGTTCCAGTGTGACGTGGAGCTTGTCCAGCAGCCCTCGAAGTCCGACGTGGACCTTCTACAGCCTCCAGAAGACGCAGGAGAAGGAGATCTTACAGCTGGTGGAATGACCTCGCGGTGTCCAGAAGATGAGCTGCAGCTGATGAGCGTTAAGTTAAGCGGCCGCCAGCAGCAGCAGCAGCAGCTCTTCGGAATCTGCAAGGCTATGGAGCTCAGCTGTTTAAGTCACCTTTTAGAGGTCAGCATCAGCAGACCGAAGCATTTGGCACCGGCTATTCGTTCTATCGAGGAGCGAATTGCTGAAGCTGAGCGGCTGGGTCTCCAAGAGGAGGTGTTCCTGGGGTTTCACGATCTGGCGTGCGTAGCCATTCATGAGACTGAGAGTGGCGAGTGGACGACCGAAAGGTGTATGGCTCTTCTCATAAAAGTCATCTGCTTTTGTAACGTCAAGGGGTATCATAACTGGGGTAGGCAGGTGTACGCCAAGATGGCGGGCGTGGCCAAACGCCGAGGCACAACAAGATTGTCTAGCCTTGTCGATGCCATGAGGTACCTGAGTCCTCAGTTGAAGTTTGTCCGGAAATTTGTGGAGGTCAATCCCGACTGCCTGGAGGCTTTGTTGACTGAGCTTGCGTTAGTCTGCGAGGTGGCTAAGCGTCTCTGGAACCTGCAGCTCTTTGACAGGTCGAGGTTGGAGCTGCAGAACGCGTTGAGACTTTTTGAGTACGTTTCCCATAACTTTGGCGACCCTTCCATCTGGTACCCGTTGGAGGTCACTGGTCTCCTGTGGGCAGAGTGCAACCAGCAGCTCGGTCTGTTGGTCTTCATCCATCGGATGACTGGAGACCCAGGCGGAGAGAGCCTCCGAAAAAGTCTCAAGTTCTACCAGGATTGCAGAGAAGCCTATTCCAAGCTGAACATGCTCAACTTAGGACTAGAGGCACTTTTGCTCATGCGTGAAGCTACGGTGTGCTTCAAGAACGCGATGGAAGGACGTCCTCCCATCGCGGGCACCAAAGACATGGAAGAGCTGGTGGACGCAGCGTCGGAGAAGGTGGAGGAGATGGTTCAACGAGGCCAGGACTGCAGTTACGTCAACCACATCATTGCTCTTTTCGAAGCACGATATCTGGAGTGGAAGGGAGAGAAGCTTCCGAAGAGGGTAGTGATGAATCTGATGGTGGTGGCAGCTACCTGGAAGAAGTATGACGTACTGCATGCTCTTGCAGGTCTTCATGAGATGGAAGGCGAAAGAGAAGCTGCGGTCCAGTCGAGAGTGGTGGCCATGGCTTGGTTCAAAGAGCAGCAGACTGATATAGGGAGTTTCTCTGACGCATATCTATCACAGTATGGAGAGAGGGAAGCAACTGTATTTCGTCGTCTGCAGTTCGAGTTCTTAAATCGCCTGAGTGTTGGTGATTCACTGATCTGGAGCGAGTGGTCACGCCACAGGTTCCTCTCCAATGTCCTCTTACAGGGAAAGTCTGGGACTTCTGCTGCTGCTGCTGCTCCTGGTGGCGGTGGTGGTGGCTGTGCTGCTGCTGCTGATGCTGCTGGTGTTGCTGGTGCTGCTGGTGTTGCTGCTGCTGCTGCTGCTGCTGCTGGCGGTGGTGGTGCTGCTGCTGCTGCTGGTGGTGGTGCTGCTGGTGCTGCTGGTGCTGCTGGTGTTGCTGCTGCTGCTACTGCCGGCGGTGGTGGTGCTGCTGCAGCGGCTGGTGCTGCTGGTGCGTCGAGCAGCACTAGTCATTGTAGCAACAAGTCAAACGAACTTCCATCGGCGTGGGGTTCACCGGAAGAAACATACAAGAAGTTGATCTCTGAGCGTTTCGAATCTGACAAGTCCGGTACATTGAGCATGATCATGGACGGTTGCCGCTTGTGCGGGCCAAGGACCACGCTGATCGAGTATGTTTATGGGAAAACGGTGGCCGAGGAGGGTCTGGAGGGGATTCTTATTTACGTTATGACCATCAAGGATCGCAGTCTGAGCTGTGCTCCACTAAGGTACAAAAAATCGGAAGGGGTGGAAGTGCACTTGCAGCGGCTCAAAGATCTGATGGAGTCGAATCCCTCACATAGCAGACAACGTGCAGTTTCTTCTTCATCCGATTACTATCGATTACACCGTCGCACAAATCCGTTATCTAACTCCATGCCACAATCGAGCTACTCGGAGAGAGAGAGGGGCGGAGACAAAGAGGGTGAGAGAAAGGGAGAGGGGAAGTGGGAGGGTGGGGGAGAGAGAGAGGGATCATTCAGCTACTCGGAGTCAAGCTGTCATCACCAGCAGTGGAATGGGGTAGCATCATCGAGTGAAGGAGAGGGATCCCCATGCCAGCATGCCATCTGTAATCTTCCAAAGCACATCAAGAGGCCCACAAAAGAAGAGAAAGAAAGACCAGGACCACAGGAGGCTGACAAGGATCATGCAGCATCTTCTAGTCACGGCGAGGGATGCCGATTCACAGCGCATCGAGGTTCATGTTTTTCAAAGAATGCGAAGATAGCCGCAAAGGAAGTGCAAGAGAGACGAGAACGACGACAGATGATTAGGAGCATCCTAGAGAAGTTATACCTACTCCTGATTGCACCTGTTGAACATCGCATTGCGGACCTTTCCCCGGATGACAAGCTCATTATAGTGCCGCATGATATTTTGTGGGGAGTCCCCTTTGCCCTGTTACGCGACCCTCGACGACGCTCGCCACTTATGAAGCCATATCTGATAGAGCGTCATACGGTGGCGACTGTACCTGGTGTTCATCTTCTTACTCTGCTTAAGGAGAGAAGCGAAGATCTGCTGAACATGATGTGTCCTCCGTTCGTTCCTGTATCCAACTCTGAAGGACTTGCTGCAGCTGGAGAAGGAACGAAAAGGGAGGAGCATAGCTCTTGGAAGTCCCTCGTTGTTGGTAATCCGTTTGTTATGCCCGAGGACTTTGACGTGGAGGAGATTGCTTACGCGGGAGAGGAGGCGCAAGCGATCCACGACATGCTTCGACCTGGAACTGCCACTCTTCTCACTGGAAGGCATGCCACCAAAGCTCGCGTGATGGATGCGCTCGCATGCGGGCCTCCTCTCGCTCACTTCGCAGCGCATCTGCAGACTGGGTTTCCCAGAGAAATAACCGATCGGAAAGATATATATGGTGCCGAGATGGGGATTATGCCACTCGCTCGTCACAACGATGATGGTCATCATTCGCCCACTACCAAGGGCGCGACAGATAATGCTTTGTATACCATCAACAAGTCTGTTAACGAACCGGGTGCTAATGGAGCTCCTCCACGGAAAGCTCCACCCGCGACTGAGCCTGGTCCAGAGTTCTGGCCATGGTCTTTGGATGAAACCACCGACAATGTGAGGCTGCAGCTCGCCCATTCAGATCTGAAGAAGGGGGAAGGTCCGGAAGGAGCATCACATCTCGATGTGCTGCTTCAGGGTCTCTCAAACATCAACCCTCTATCCCATGAGGATGAGACTTACAAAAGTCCTGATTACCATCCTGCGGGTCTGTCGGCTCAAGAGATTCTCAAGAGCTTCAACAATGACTTGAGAACGCTGCTTGTAGTCTTAAGCTGCTGTGACTCCTCCAAGGGTCGTCGTAACCCAGATGAAGTGCTTAACTTTGCCAGGGCGTTCTATGTCTCCCGAGTGCCTTGTGTTGTTTCGTCCGTTTGGGAAGTTGAAGATGATGCTACTTTCGCATTCATGCTCCCCTTTTACAGTGCTCTTCGTGAGGGAAAAGATGTTTCCTCCTCGCTCCGCTCTGCCATGCTGAGCATGTTATATGCTGGACGGTCATTGGCGACCACCACCACCTCCTCCTCCTCCTCCTCCTCCTCCTCCTCCTCCTCTCTCCCCCCAAACGTCGCTTTCTTTCTGGAACTGTTTCCTGACTTAGACAGGGGCGATGCTGGGAACGGCAACGGCGACCATCAGCAGAGAAGGAACAGCGAGGACAGCGAGGTGCGTTTTACCCGTACCAGTCTTTTGGTGCACGTAGACAACAACCTGAAAGCATATCCACCCCATGAGGATGACCTATTCAACCGTATGTTGGAACAGACAAGGAAATATTTTCTGGCCAATCCTCCCTCCTCATCCGCTCACACGCATATCCCCAAAGGTCAAGAGGATGAAGAGGAAGGGGATTGGGATCCTTCCCAATGGGGTGCATTTCTGTCAATTGGCCTTCCCACTCTGAAGATGCCAGACTGGTTGTTCGCATCCTCAACATAATATATACTTTAAGGTGAGGACAGGATATATAAGGCATATAGTCCATGACTCCACGTGGTGGTTCACCTCTTGACTAACGCAGCGTGGCGACCTGCATAGTGCTGCCAGCCGTCATCACGGGCTTGGTGTCTATGAGCTGTGGGTCTTTGACAATGCACTTTATCGGCTGTAACAGATATTATGTCTGTCAGGGGATATGGTGCTCGACGAGAGCCATTGAGAATTAGAGAGGTTTTCTGGATAGCGCGTCCCAGACCAGGAGGCTTTGTCAAGCAACCAGGAGATGGTGGGGTGGAAGAGAGACCCGTGATCGGCTTCGCCATTTATTAGTCATCGACTCATCGTTGATATCATAATGATAGTTAAGCAGAGGGATTCCATCTACACCCGAGTACAACGAATGGTAATTATAGCTGGATTTGGGCCAACTTCAGTCTACATGCAATCGGGGAAGCCTGTAAAGGTGAGGAGATAAGAGAGATGTGACGGCTGGCAAGTGGGAGGAGGATGTCATGGTGGCCCATGTGAGCAGTTAGCGGTGAAGTAGTACTCCTGGTTGGGCATTACAAATGATCCTGTCTCATTAATTTCCATCAGTAGTACGCTGTACACAGTGTACAGCACAGGCTGAGAAGAATGCAGGCTCTTATGGAGAGGCTGCTGCATCTGTTGCAGTCCTGCAGAGGATAAACTGTCAGGATGATGAGACAGTGAGACTGACTTTGATGAGGGATGACGACGGTGAGGAGTGCTATGGACAGACATGCCAGACTGGAAATGAGTGGGAGGCTGAAGCGGTGAGTGTTTTTGTCGATGGCGTTTTCGCTGCTCTGATTAGGGGGTACCCCGACCTCCTCATTCTGGTCATTAAGCATTCAATTTGTCACCATTCCAGCAGTGGGCCAGGAGATCTCGCTGCGTCCAGCTTCAGAATTCCCCGACCCCTTTCTGCCCCATCAGCTGGCTATGGTGGGCATGCAATGGGACGAGGCAGAGTAAGCAGGATTAAAGTCGGAGGACTGCAGACAAGCTGGTTTATGGTAGGATGACGGCAGTTTAGGCAAACCTGACTACGCTCAGCAGCTACGCAGTTAACCCCCCGGTCTCACCGGGGCAGTCAATGCTGGCAGCCAAGATCGTATCTTTACGGTGCATATTTCTCAGTTGTTTCATCTAATGGGACGCTGGACCCGTTTTCCAGCAGGTGCAGCTCCCTACCAATAGAATGGAGCACTGGGAATGTGCACTAGAGGAGGTTGCGCGTATCGCCCCCCCTAGTGATGTTGCTATGGGGATTCAAAAAAAAAAAAAAAAAGGAAAGCATTTTCACTATTCAATGAATTTAGGGGAAGCTGTGACAATGTCACAACTTTAGTTTGAAATAGGCAAAAAAAAAAAAGAAAAAAAAAAGCACATAGCAGCTTAGGAATGACCATGGTAACTTAAAAAAGGCCAGAAAAACTTCAGGTGGCAGGATAGGAGCCTATTAGGAGGGTGGTTAGTTTGAAAGCGGCTGATATGAGGGCAATTAGTTCTAAACAGTCTGTCCCACGGGCCACAGCTGGTCCGTGGGTGGTTCCACAATGATAGACACGGGCCTGTGGAGCCCAGGGCGGGGTCCCTAGCATCCCAGACATGGGAATCCGTTAGGGGTGGGGCACTCAGGTGCCAATTCCTCCCGCCACGGAGTGCAGTCCAGTTAGAATCTTCCAGCCCCATGGTTCATCCCTTTCCTCATCTCCTATCTTCCACCTTCCCTCTTCTCCGTTGTCGGCCTTTCCTCTTCTGACACAGACTTTTTTTCTTTCCTTTCTTCTTCTTCTTCTTCTTCTTCCAGACAAAAAAATATACACCATCAATTTCTTGTTCTCATGCCGTGCGCTGTGTCCCCCTAGGACGCGGCCGCCTCCGACTCGGCCACGGCCAAGGAGGCCGGCCGCGGGCCCGCGGCCCAGGCCGCGCAGCCGAGTTTTTTTGTGGCTGCGCCACAGCCAGGCGGTGGCGCGCGCACGCGGCCTGTGCACGTCGGCCGCTGACAGGCTGTGCAAAAAAATAGTAATAGTAATAATAATTGGGGGGGTGTTTTTTGATGTGTGACAAAAAAAAAAAAAAAAAATAGAAGGGAAAAAAAAAATCATTTGTTGATGGTTTTTTGATTGATTGATTGATTGATTGATTGATGGGTTGATTGATTGATTGATTGATTGATTGATTGATTGGTGGGGGAGGGGTCCTCCCTCCCCTCCCCGGCACAGGCACGCACACACACACACACACACACACACACACACACACACACACACACATATATACTTACACACACATGCTGTCTTCAAGGGTGTGGGGGAGGAGTTGATATCGCCATGATAAGTAAAACTCATGTCATCTTCTTCTTCTTATATATTTTCCATTGGTCTTGAACATTTGCTGATGCGCACAAACACACATCACACACACACACACACACACACACACACACACACACACACACACCACATCACATCACACACACACACACACACACACACACACACACGAGGGCACACACACACACCCACACCCACACACACACACACACAATCAATCAATCAATCAATCAATCAATCAATCAAAGCAAATCAATCAATCAATCAATCAAAGCAAATCAATCAATCAATCAATCAAACCATTTTTTTGTTTATTTGTTTTTAATTTTTGCATCTTCATTTTTTTTAAACACCTAATTTCCCTGCAAAAAACCGAAATTCATTTTAAAAAAAAATACAGCACAACTCAGGGACCATATCCCTCGTGATAAAAAATAACAAAAGAAAATTCCTGGTTTTCTTTTTATTTTTTTTTAAATATTTTGTTTAAATCGAATTTCGTTTTTCATTTTTTAAAAATCTTAAACGAAGTCTGATTCCAAAATAAAAAACATAGGATTGTAGGGTTTTCCAAAGCCCTACACCCCTATATATATATTATAACATAGTTTTAAGGGTAAAAAAAAATATTAAAAAAACAGGCTGCGGACTGGGCCTCATGGGCCGCGACCGCGGCCGACTTTTTCGGCCGCAGCAGCCGAAATGCCCGCGGCCTAGGCCACGGGTGTCACATAGATGCCGTGTATTTTCCCATGTTGTTGGAGAATATTCTTTCTCATCTTCGGGTCCGGATACGTCGGAGGCATACAAAACGAGAATGAATCTTTTGCCAGAACAAAGGAACATACACCAACATATTTCTTGTTCTCATGCCGTGTATCTTCCCAATGCATGTTGTAGGGGAAGATTCTTCTCATTTTTGTTGCAGCTCGCCCTTCCCACCTTCCGCCAGAGAAGATACAACGGCATATTTCTTGTTGTCATGCCGTGTATCTTCCCATGTTCAAAGGGAAGGTTCGTTCTCATTCTCCATATGCTCAGGGGCATGCAAAACGAGAATGAATCTTCTGCCATCACAAAGGAAGATACACCGCCATATGTTCACTGCCTGCGGGAAAAAAAAAAAAAAAAACATTGGGGTGGTGTGTGNAAAAAAAAAAACATTGGGGTGGTGTGTGTGTGTGTGTGTGTGTGTGTGTGTGTGTGTTTGTGTGTGTGTGTGTGTGTGTGTGAGAGAGAGAGAGAGAGAGAGAGAGAGAGAGAGAGAGAGAGAGGAGAGGGGAACACGCGTGACCCTCGGCGGGGTGTTTGCCCACGTGCCCATACCAAACACAACGCACCCAGAGATTGGTGCATCGAACATGAAACATTGTGACGCCCAAACCTCATGCCCAGCGTGACTTCCTGATCGGAGTGGGGGTGGGCCTGGAAGTGCGAAAAGGGGGTGTGCCAAGGATTTTAGGAAAGTGGGGGGGGTGGAGTCCCATGTCAAAACTGAGATCTCCGTTCGCAAGTTTCAGCGATACGAATGCAAGAGGGTAGGTGCAGATCGGAGTCCTGTTTTGTGCTTCGGAAAGCAGAGCTATCGGCTCGTTGGTTCCACTATCTGGGTCAGACTCGTATCTGGTGCACCGCCGGGACGCTATGGCTATCTCGCTGGCTGGTCACCTGCCAACGTCGAATGTCGCAAGTCTCGGAATCCGATACGGCCGGTCTCAGCCGAAGGCTGCACGCCCGCCGTTCTTCCTCTGAGCGAGTTCGCCAGATGAAGCCAGATGATCGGTAATCGTGGTCTTGCACGCACTCCGAGCACGGGGGTTGGGGCCAGTAGGGAGCGATGGCGCACCATGGGACTGGCACAATGGTTAGGGAGTGGAAGGGCAGGATGCGGTGATAGGGAGGGAATTTGGTCCCCATGATAATGATTCCAAGTTCCGCGACGACGTGACACGTGCATGGGCTAGGACAGCTGGGGAGATGGGGGACATGTCCCAAGGCCTGATCAATATCCCACTCACAAATACGCTCGTTCCCGGTTAAGTAGGGAAATTCTGGAGGTTCCGCCCTTGATCATGCAGACAGACAAGAGTGTTCCCAATATTCTCAGAATTCCCAGTCCTTCAGGGACTTGCGGTCAGTGATACGAAAGGGGATTTCGATATTCATACTGTAGGGTGGGCCGCACTGGGGCGGGAATTCAGACATTCGGGAAGTTGGGTCGAGTACAGGTTTTGCAGACACGCGTGTAAGCAGCGGCCTTCCTCGGTCGGGCTTACACGTGCGTTCACAAGACCTGTCCTTCGGTCGGGTGGGTGAAGGCCAGCAACTCGTAAGGTGGGTAATCCTGTAGGTAGACAAACATCTAGTCATCTAGCATGCTCATCTAATTCGTACTCAGACGGAAACACACCAAGCATCTATGCATCCAGCTTCAAACACGCACACTCATAAACAAAAAGAAGTCGATAATCTTCATGCATCTATTATTTGGCTATTGGCCCGGGGATCACACATAATTCGATCCCAGGTGACCAACCAATTGGATTACCGATTAAAACACAAAGAGAAGGGAAGTTGGGGAGACAATCACACATCAGTCTCTGAGAAGAAACAAAGATAAGATCCGAGATGCTGATCCGAAAGGAGAAGGGCAACTTGCGCCAAACACCAAAATTGCTCAGAAGAATAGAAGAAGAATACCATCACAACACATCCCGTCCCTCTCTCTCTCTCTCTCTCTCTCTCTCTCTCTCTCTCTCTCTCTCTCTCTCTCTCTCTCTCTCTCTCTCTCTCTCTCTTCACAGCATCCCGGTGTGGGCAGTCTGTCGCCTCGCACCCACACAGAGTTGGCACCCCGCTTAATCCGAGCACACAAGCCAGGTTCGCCCGTGCGCCACAGTCCATTGTGGCCCCACGTCAACCCTGCATGCCCAGCACCAGCTCGTCGGATCGCCCAACTCTCTACTCACTTTCCAATTCTGGCCCATTAGCCGATCCTCTCGACCACGCTAACTCCAAAATTCATAAAGAGCGAGTTAATTGCGCTTGAGAGATTTATAACATGCATGCTTGCGCGAGATACTCGGGATTGTGCCTGAGTGGGAAGAAGGAAGGAGGAAGGAAGTGCCTACGGCTGCATGGCCAGGCCGCGGCGTGGGGGACGTCAACCCCTCATGCCCAGCACCAGCTCGTCGGATCGCCCAACTCTCTACTCACCTTCCAATTCTTGCCCATTAGTCGATCCTCTCGACCGCGCTAACTCCAAAATTCATAGAGACCGAGTTAATTGCGCTTAAGAGATTTATAACATGCATGCTTGCGCGAGATACTCGGGATTGTGCCTGAGTGGAAAGAAGGGAGGAGGAAGGAAGTGCCTACGGCTGCATGGCCAGGCTGCGGCGTGGGGGACATAGCCACACTCCACACATCGATGCAGTCATGCAAGCGTTCAGTCCAATAGGACAAGGGGAGAAGTATGTGCGCACAGAGGCACCACAAAAGATATCAAGGACGAGAGGATTACAATTGCAATCACAACCGCCAAAACAAAAATTACAGTTACACGCAAGATTAAGGCACGGAAAAGTCAGAGCAAAGATCCTGACGCGGCAAGGCGTTTGCAAGCAAGAAGCGTCCTACAACAAAATAGCGTGGTGCCTAAATTCCTAGCCTAACTCCTAATTACAAAAAGAAATTCTGAGAGAAAACAATTCTGAGAGTCCGCGGGGGCTCGAAAACAGTTGAAAATTCAAAAAAGATTTTCCCGCTCGACAATCGCGCCAAAATTGTCATTCCCCACAGCAGAACAAGAAAGAATCTATAGCAACAGTTATCTTTCGCGCTCGCGAAGGCGGGATCAACTACCAACCGTCATGGGACTATCGCGGCCTCGATTCCGAAAAACAAAAAAAGCAAGGGCACTCATGCATTCCATCGGGCCATCCCGATTCAACCCCCAAAGTAGCCTTGTGCAAAAAGTCACGTGGTCGCAGAAATTAGTTCGTCGCATATGTGACGTCCAGGGGGTTCCAATCTTAAGCAAGCTCCTACTTGCTCTCTCATTATTCGTCAATCCTGCAAGAAACGTCAGCGGTCGACGTGGAGCTGACACGTGCGACTTACCGTGAGATACGAGTTGGGGAGTCATGCAGGTGACATTCGCGAACTCCGATTCAAGAGGTTGTCGGGGAAGGGTAATTTGATGACGGGTGGAGGAGGAGAGGGGTGAACTCGTGGGAGAGGTGGCAAAAAGAACGAAGTTCTCGATTTCGAGCGAGGAGCCGAGTGTAGTGGACAATGCAATGGATGCAGGGGAAGCGATGGTCTTAATGGGGGAGCGAGGCGAGGTAGTCTAGGTAAAGGGTGCAGAGAGTGCGGGAAATCGCGGCGTGTAAGTCCTCATAATGTTCACATGCGGGGATCGTACCCGCGATTATACAATAGACCTCTATATTATTGAATTCCTGCCATGCCGCACTAAAGAGAAGGATATGGAGGGAAAAGGGGGTTACGAGAGAGAGAGTGGTGGCGTGTGGGAAGACGGTGACGATGAGGCTGGTGGAGTAGAGTTTGTGGAAGAGGGAAGGTGGGAAAGGATGCCAGTTAGAAGGAAACAGGGGTCAGCCCGTGAGCTGATAAAGGGTAAGGTAATCAAGGGGATGGCGGGATAACGACCGGGGACGAAGCCCGAGCGCCCGCATTTCCACGTATGCGAACGGTGGGTCATACCGCCATAGTGGAGAGGATTGAGCCGGGGAAGAACTTTTTCTACGGCGTCTGCTTCGTGAACCCTCAGCGGTGGTGACGCCATCTCCTCCAAGTTCCTCCTGCCGCGACTCTGGATTGCACACTAGATCACCTTGTAACAACCATGGTGCGGGTCCGTCCGATTCTTCCACTGATCACTTTCCTTCTGCCCTCTCTCCCCTCTTCTACGCTGCGACTTCGTCCTCTTCCCTGCTCTGTTCGCTGGAGCTGCCTGATTCGTCTGACTCACTCTCTCTCAACTCACTCTCCTCCGACCCGTTGTAATCGGGGTCAACATGTTATTCGTTAAAACAGGACATTATATTGTGTCCTCTTTCTAACGAATTCATTTTTGGCTGCAGCGTTTCCACGTAGGTATGCCCATACACTCACCCTAAATGTGGAAGTGTGCTGAGATCCGTACTTGTTGAACTTTATAAACAAATGAGCAATGTACTCAGATTGAATTGGACAGTGTAATTTTGTCGGTTATCCCAAGGTTATACAGGCAGGTGCATCGTCTCGCCTGAGACGGTTGTCTGGATGTTTGATGAGATCCAGACTTGTTTTGAAGACTTAGTGTAATGACCGGCACGCCCGTCTGGGAACCCTGACAGTGTGCGGAAGTGTGGTGAGATTCATACTTGTTAAACTTAAAGTTTATAAATGTGATGAGCAAGGTGTCATGATTGAACCTATGTTGGATAACACATTAAATTTTCTTTACTAGGTTATCCCTAAGTTGTGCAAGCATACCCATCGTCTCGCCCGAGACGGTTGTTTGGATGTTGAAGACATCCGGACTTCCGCATATAGGCACGCTCATCATCTCACCCGACATGAGGGCACTGAGATCCATACTTGTTTACAGTTGTGATGAGCAAGGTCTATTGTAACAACCACTTAATTTTGGCATTCTATGTACAAGTCTAGAACTTCAAATTTTGCTTATTCACGATCGAAATCTTCACTTTAAATGACCATGTACAAAAGGTTTGGGCACGGACGCAAAGTTGTTGGTTACATGTAATGCACGTGGTCACAAGGCATGTGATTCTATGCACATGCAAGAGACATGACTTCACTGGTCCTTTTATTTATTAATGCATCCACTGACCAATTTGCCATGCATCCACTCGTTGAGATTTGTCACACAATAGATGAGATTGGTCATGCATCCACCGACCAATTTGTCAATCATATGTACACTTCGAGTTGAATAAAATTTGAAACATGGAACGCAATGTATGACATGTTCCGCTGCATGAGAGACGACTGGGACGTGACAGAGATTACAAAGTCTATACATGACGTCGGACATGCAATGAGTCTGCCGAAGACAATCCAAACTCGCAACGATAAAAGAAAGTAATGTCGTTGTCAAAACGACAATTGAATAATGTCATGATTTACAAAATATAATCATCAACAAATGGAATACCTTCAAAAAAAAAATATAAATCAATCAAATTCATCAAAGACAACGACGTTCTAAGATCCATGATGTCAATTGTCGTCTTATAAGCGGAATATCTTTACAAGAGAACCTGAAAGGCGGTCGATCACCACGTTGCAACAATGTCGCAAACATCAACATGAACACCCCGCAACTAGCTCCATCCACTTGTCTCGGAACTGCATCCACCACAACATTTTCCGCTATCGACTTTCAATTCCTACCCGACCGCCTATGTGATGTTTGACGTTTAAATCCATCAAAGACAACGACGTTCTAAGATACATGATGCCAA